CACACACACACACACACACACACACCACAAAACAGGAAGCACAATGAACCCACAAAAAAGCAAAAACCAATCAGACAAAAATTGCTCAAACAGAAGAAAGTGAAACAAAAAAGTCCAAACTAAAAGCATTGTTTTCATCTGTGTTGGCCATTGTCTCCTGGGCATGGAGCCTGCCCTGGAGTGTGGTTGATGTACTGAATGACGCTCCATTGGATGAAACTGATTTTCCCATTTCCAGAAGGTATCAATTGTAGACAGCTTCTTAGCAGTGGGGCTATGTGTCCAACTCCCTCCCTCAGTGATAGGACCCCATCTGGCTTGAACTTGTCCGGGTCTTGTCCATGTTGCCACAGTCATTGTGAATTCACACGTGCATCATTCCTGTTGTGTCTGGAAGACATTGTTTCCTTAGAGCCATCTATTCCCTCTAGCTCTTAGATTCTTTCACCTCCTCTTCCACAGAGATCCCTAAGCTTTCATGGGAGGGCTTTGACAAAGATATCCCACTTAGGACTGAGTGCCCCAAAGACTCCTACTCTCTGCACATTGTCCAGTTGTGGGTCTCTGTGTTAATTCCCATCTAAAGCAAGAATAAGCCTCTCCAGTAAAAACGATGCAATGCTCTCTGATCTATGGAATATAGCAATATGTCATCAAGAATTCTCTGATTGCTGTTTCTTCAACAGAGTAACAGTACTAAGTTTTCCCCTAGATCCATGACCTATCTAGTCTCATGTTCTTGGCCATTTTACCAGTGTCAGGTGTGGGTTCCATCTCATGAAGAGGACTTTAAATCCAATCAGAAAATGGTTGGTTACTCTCATAACATTGGTTCCACGATTGCACCAGTAGATCTTGTGCCTTAGGCAGGTACCTGTTACAGGTCACAAGGTTTATATCTCAGTGATATTGATGATTATCTTTCTCCTCCAGTAACATACAAATACCTTCAAATACCATGAAAACTAGCTACTGGGTACAAAGCTTCTACTTAGACACCAGCCCAACTACATTTTTTTTTAAAAGTTTGTGGTAAAATTTCACCATTATTCAAAGTTGAATGAATAAGACTAACACTAGAAATCACTAATTTGATTTGGGGAATTGAAAAGGACCTGCAGATATCATCACATTTAATGGTAAAAAATAGATTTTTATCTTCTAAAATTGGGACATTCACAGTGATTTACTAGAGTTCTCAGTGTAATAAATAAAAAAGATAAATTATAAACAGGATAAGTGTTGAAAAATAAGAAATAAAACTACAAAAAGCTATAGATAGCACAATTATAAATAAATTATTATAGATAAATCCAAAGATGTAGTAATATACAGATTAATTATAAAAACTTCAAGAGAGAAGAGATTCAGAGTAAACCAGTGATGTTTTTACATTCTAACAACAGTTAGGAGAGAAGAATTTAACTACTGCATTGAAAAGATCCTAAGAAAGGACTGGGGCTTTAGCTCAATGGAAAAGTATTTGCCTCGCATGTCAAGTGTCCTTGTTTTGACGATGCAAGCACTTAGAAGATGGAGACAGAAAAATTAGCTCACATTCACCTTCGGGTACATGGACAGCTAGAGTCCATCCTGGGTTGCATGAAACCCAGCCTGAAACTTTACATAAGGAAGACAACTAACAAAATGTATCAGAACTGGGCCTAATACAAAGCATCCAAATTTCAAATCAAATTCGTTTTTAAAAACCAAAAGTTCGTACCTCCTGATAAACTTTACTAATAGAAAACGTCACAAAGCAATCGAATATCACTGGCAAAGTCGGCAAGCAGAGGGTTGAAGACAACTCATGTGGCTACCTAAGTTCTCCCTTCCTGCATGAGACAAGAGTCCTCTGCTCCTGGTAATAGATGGAATCTAATGAGATTTACTCATACAGTGGGGAAATTTCAAGTCATAAAACATCTAATTTTATAATTCGGAGTGTTTTATTGCTTGTGTGACATTCTCTAAGGAGCCGTGCCTCATAAATCAATAAATTTTAGGTTTGTGTACAGTAAGTCATTGTAAACCTGGAACATCCTGCTCAAATCATCCCATAGATAATGATTCTTCTCCTAGCAACTATCATTAGCCTGTTTGTCTGCAGGTCCAAAAGCTGGAGTTACGAGGAAAACAGACCAGCAATCAAAGGGAAATAAATGGATCACAGGTCAGATGCCATGAATTCTACTTCCTCGGGTTTTTAAGCAGAAAACTACAAAATAACCAGAAAAACTAAGCACAAGGCCAAGATATATAGACTATTTGAAGATAACATTTCCCAATATTGAAAGACATTTCTTTAATCATATAGTTAAGTCCATTAAAATGCCGACCAAATTCTAACAGTTCTTTTTTCCTGCAAAATTTTACAAGCTACTTCTAAAATTTATATGGATAGTCAGCAGCCAAACGATGTCCAGAAACCCCAGTCAAGCATTAAAGTAGCTGATGGGATTGGAGAAGATTCAGTAGATGAATTTGCATTAGCAGAAGGACCTTGTTCAGGCTCTTAGTTCCATGTACAAGCCCAACATGTAGGTGTCATGTGCCTATAACCACAGTATGAGAGTGAATGGAGAAAGGCAGATGCTGGGGGATCACCTGCTAGTCAGTCTAGATTAAACAGTGAACTCCAGGTTTAGTGAGATAACCTTTCTCAAAAAAAAAAAAAAAAAGGTGGAGTTAGTAAAGATGTGGTTGTAGGTCCTCCAAGATCCCTGACTAGAGCTGTTGGTTACCACAAAGTGAGCATGCCACTACTACACCCTTAGGGTTACTGTGCCATACTGGTCATTGTTGCCTGACACCTTCTGGTGCCTTGAAAAATGGTCCTTGGGGAGGAGGATGTCAAGTCAGTTCCATCTAAGGGGCCTCTAGGCCCTGTGACTGAGTGCATGGTGTCTTCAACAATAGGGACCTACTTTCCATTTCTAGGGGGCAACCAAGGGCAATTACAATAGCCTATGGTTTTTAGGGGGAATCTTTTGGGCAACCCTGACCAACAACTCAAAAGAGCATTTCTCATGACTGGTGTTAGGAATTTTATCAGATGTTCTTTGGCCCTTGGGGGGAGCATTGTCAGCACAAATGAGAAAATTTTATTTAAACTTCCTGTGTATATTTATAGGCTGACTTACATATGTTGTAGTTTTTTTTTATTATAATCTCAAAATTAAAAGAAATGTTTTTTAAAAGTAAAGTGAAAAATGATAAAGACTAATATCTGGTCTTCACACATGAACACACAGATGAGCATACTTGCACACACAAACACACTCACACAAAAAAACACTCACTCAAACACATAAACACACCACAGACACACACAGACACACACACACACACACACACACACACACACACATACAAGCAAGTACACTCATATACCACAGACACACATACATATACACAAAAATTAGCTTACAAAATGCTTGGTTTTCCCATTATTTAAGGCTTAATTGGTATGCCCAAGGTCAGATAAGCTCACCTGACTTTTGGTAGTTAAAATTACAGAGTAAGAAGGAAGTTCTCAGATACTGACATTTGATGCACATCACAGCTTGGGAGAGCCAGAGTGATTTACGGCTTTCTGTCATTCCCACTCAGAACAAATTCTGAAAAATACACAAGAAATTTATCCCCTTTAGAAAGGAGAGAATCAGGAGACAGGGCACTTGGTGCCACTTTGAGATGTTTTCATGACAGCTCTCTGAGTGTCAGCAATTCCAGGAATTTATCTTGCTCCATCCTATGTCTGCAAAAGAGAAAGAACAACAACAGTAATGTGCTTTCACCTCCTTCTCTGCAGGCTTGTAAAAGATTACTAGGAAACCTTCACCCACAAATGCAGTGGCGGGAAAGGTCTCCAGGTCAGAGAACAAAGCCTAAGTGGGCGACAACTATAACTCAAAAAGTATGACTTGTGTAGATGTTGGCTTTGTGATACTTCTAATTGCTCATGTGTAAAATTAAAAAAAAAAATCTATGATTAGGGAACACTATAGAATTAAGTAATATTTGTATCTTTAAAACAAAGATCACATGCGCCGTGTGGTGGTGGCGCACGCCTTTAATCCCAGGACTCGGGAGGCAGAGCCAGGCGGATCTCTGTGAGTTCGAGGCCAGCCTGGGCTACCAAGTGAGTCCCAGGAAAGGCGCAAAGCTACACAGAGAAACCCTGTCCCAAAAAAACCAAAAAAAAAAAAAAAAAAAATCACCTGAAATAGCTGTATGTAAGTTAGTTATTGTACACGTATTTCTATCATGTAAGCATATATAGCAAAACATGATTTATCTGTTAGATTATGTATATGTACAAAATTCCCAACAATGAATCTTAAACCATTTAATTGCTAATTTAAATTTTTCTTCATGGTTTTCAAACCATTCATTTCATAAATAAAAATGGATTTCAATATTCCCTTTGTCCACTTTTCTGTCTTTGATATATTGCTGCTGTTTTCACTTGCAGTTCATCCTTGATTGATTCACCCAGAATAGAAAGATCGATGCCACTCATTAATAAAACTTTAAGACCCCTCAGGGAATAGGTTTTTATTAACTAAATTTTCTAGTTAATAAGAGAATAAATCAGGAATTCTTATTTCATCCTTTACATGTATAGCTGATCTCTATCATAAATATAACTAAATCAGAATTCATTGAAGATCATAGTTCAGGGCTATCATTGTACATTTAAGTTCATACTTCCTAGGAGTCAGAGCAATTGTAGACTCTGTGTGTGTGTGTGTGTGTGTGTGTGTGTGTGTGTGTGTGTGTGTGTGTATGCACACATGTATGTTGTATTTTGCTGGGGATTGGACTGAAGGCCTTCAGCATGCTAGTCAAATGCTCTCCCACTGCACAGTCTCAGGCCCTCTCATAGAGAAATTATAAATAGTATATTTTATATCACTGGCTAAGAAGATATAAGCTCTCATAAGATGATTCACTCAGTAAATACTAACTCAGTAAATACTCGTACAAGATTTACTAAAATTTGCTATTTTTCATTGAATTTGTCTCTTTATAGCTAATTTGCTTTTATTTTCTACTATTTTCTAAGAGTGACATATCAAAAAGTCCCTAGCAATTTGGGTTAGAATTTATGAACTTCTTCAATCCAGTCACAAAAAGAATTCATCAAAACATTATTCCCTACATACAGAAAGCAAGATCCTTAACAGGGGGGTCTAATTCCGTATTAATTTACCTGCCATGGTATTTTGTGACCTTTAGGTACTTCTGCCTCTTCCTCACCATAAGCCTTTTTTAAACTGTAGCATTCTGTGAGCAAAAGCACTATTGGTATGAAATTATAATAGCACTGCTTTAAAAGAAACTAGAACATAGCTGACTTTGAGCCATACATGAGTGATCACGGCTCAGAAAAAAGACTCAAGTTACCCTAAATGATTTGTTCCACCAAGGAAGAGATGACGTCAACATTTATAGCCACAGAACACAAGGAAGTCACAAATCAATGTATTTTCCAATTATATCAGCATCATCTACACAAAGGCAGGGAAGCATCCTGTAGAGTTCAAATTTTTCTCTTATAGCAGTCTCTGCCTAAGGATGCTTGGAGACTAGACACCTGCTTAGCAACACATTGTAAGAAGCTGTCCTCATAGTCACAAGGGCATTGGGCCAGATACAGAAAAGGTAGGTGGCTGCTAAAATGTTTAAAATATCCCAGTTAATATGGACCCTTGTCTTAGGACATCACATCTCTCTGAAATCACAGTGCTCTAGTCAGACAAATCAGTCTGCAGTATCTTTAATAATGTACGGTTTCTTCAGAGAAGGTCAGCTCACCATAGCTAAAATAAATGTGCTCATTTATTATGAATAATAAATAGGCCAAGAAACTGGAAACTTAGGGAGTATAAATTTTAACTCTATATCCTGAGCCAGGTTTCTCTCAACCTGCAGCTAAAAGCCACAGGATAGCCATTGATGTATCTCAAGACACTTGAAGACGACAAGGCACCGTCTCAATATTAAAAGTTTGGGTACCTTGGTCCAGATTCACTGACCAACACATTCAAGTGACAAGGCCAGGTAGAATATGACTATTGGGACTACTTCCTCACACTGCTGTTGCCACCTGACTCAGCTAATAGCGAACAGAAACCAAGCTGAAGAACTTGCTCACTTTCACACCTATTTAGAATATCTTTATCTGCAAGGAAGCCCATTCTAACCTCTGTCCTCCCTGTGCTTGGTGAAAGTGCATATATTCTTTACCTTTCCATTGCTGTAATAAACCACCATGACCAAGGCAACTTTTAGAAGGAAGAGTTTATTTAGGCTTATGGATCCAGAGGGTTAGAGTCCATGATGGTAGAGAAATCATGGCTGGGGAGACATAGAGGCTGGAGCAATCAAAGCTCACATCTTCAAACAAAAGCATAAATGGAGAGAACTAGCTGGAGACAGCATGAGTCTTTAAACTCTCAAGCCCATCTCCAATTATACACTAAACCTTCCCAAACAGTACCACCAACTAGGAACCAAGTGTACAAACATCTGAAAGTATGAAAGGCTTTATCCCTCCACAGGGGAATCCCTGGCTTTAATAAAATACAAAGGCACAGTGCTTGTTTTCTTTGTCCTTCCTGCTTTCTAGTCCTCTCTGCTACTCAAGGGCACTCTTAAGAGTTTTACCTGCTTAGTCCCCACCTAATACCAACGTGCTTTTTATTTATATCTCATAATAAACATGAAACTTGTCCAGGAACTTCATCTTCCAGGAAGTGGAAAACCCAGGCTGCATCAGTTGGCTCTCTTCTTCAGATAGCTTGAAGAGCTGTCGTTTTCATGCCTGGTGGTTGAGCTTGAAC